AGCCTTGCCCTTAGCCTTGACAATTCTAACACTAGAACCAACCTTTTAGGGGACAGTGGAACCTTGCTTCTTATTATAGTTCTTGCCTTTCGGCTTTCCATGAGAAGAAGAACCCTTTTCCACTGTATGAACCCTCCATTTACCCTTAAAAATTCATTTTGCAGCTTGCAAAGCATTCATCAGTTCTGATAAAAAATAAGCCATGCTATTCATAGAATAATTTAGTTTAAACTGATTAAATAACTCTAGCAATGATTGTAGAATTATATCAACTTGGGTCTCACCATCTATGTCTGCCCCAAGAATTTCCAGTTCATTGAAATAAGAAATCATTTTTAAAAGGTGTTCGCCAACTGGAGTTCCTTTGGGCATACAAGCGTTCATAATCTGTTTCATTGCAACTTGTCGTGCCGCTCTACTTTGTTCCCCAAACATTTCCTTAAGGTTCAACAAAATGTCACGAGTAGTGACAAAAGACAAATGCTAATGTTGTAAAATGTTTGACATTGAAGCTAAAATATAGCACTTGGCCAGCCTTTTGCCACTTCTCGTACATTTCCTTTAGCACCTAACTATCATCAGTGCCAAGTATAGGAGGGCACTCTTGAGTGAGCACAAATTTGTACTCCTGTGTAGTAAGTACAATGTGAAGATTTCTCTTCCAGTCAACATAGTTTGGCCCGGTTAATTTATTGTCCTTAAGTATAGCAGCAAGTGGGCTGAAAACATTCGACATCTGAAATATATATAAACATTCATGCATAAATAAAATGGCATCCATACAAAAAACAAAAAATAAACTTTAGTTTTCACATAGCTTCTCTGTAGGTCTCTCTAAGCCACTGATATAATGAAAACATCAATAATCATAATCCCTGTAGGTATTCACTCATTTCTCTCATGGGGCAATAAGAACATACCACTACCAAGAGATTATGTCACTACCTTGATTAGATGGAAACAATTTCCACCACATCCTACTATCTAGGCATCTCATGCCAAATGAAATATAGCAACCGATTTAACCTTAGCCTCTATGTGAAAATACCCCCTAGGTGGAGCGTACTCCCACTTAGTCAAGTGTATACCATTATCTAAAAATAGTGTAATTGAATGAGGCCCGTCTCCTAATGGTGATCGTCCCCATCCACCTACCGCTAGTTCTATCATGCAAAATCTATATCTAGTAACCAGTAAAACAAATACCCTACGGAGGAGCACCCAAGATTGGTGGCGAGGTACTTGTTCCACCTTACAATAGATCGACAATGGAAGGCTGTGGAATTTAAGATTAAATCATGCTCCCACTTGATTTTTAAAATTAGAGAGTTTTCTTTAAATTCCATACATCCTATGCATAATATCATCATATTATGATATTAATTTTAATCTAAATAATATTGGAATCCATTTTAAAATTTCTTTTAGGCCCAATGAACCTAATCCATTTGGGTCAATTTAGCTCAATTTCTTGAGCTAAGCTATGGGATAATCCTACACTTTCCACAAAATTTAATTAAAAATAAAATTTTAATTTACAGAAAATCAAATTTTCAAAAAATATTTTCAAAAGTGCTAATTTTTCCAAAACTACCCAAAAAAAGTAATTCCAATTTTATCTAGTTTAAAATTAAATAAAACATAACTAGAGCAAGTCATGGATTAAGCATGACATTCAAGCATATAACCATCACATGAATATAAGCATGCAAATAAAAATCATGTTGCACCATAAATAGTGCTAAGCCCAGTGCTAAGCCCCTCTCTTGGCTGGTTAAATATCATCTCATGATAATCTTGTACTTTCAAAGTCCTCCATTGGAAGCATTGACTCTTATCTTGTCTAAATCTTTTCCTGAACTCTTCAAGAACTTCAACGCTAAATTTAAAAATATAGTACAAGGCTTTGTCCTACTTCCAGTTTAGGACTTATATAAAATTATAAACAAGATAAAATAAATAAATAATTAAATCCTATTCGGCTAGGGAAAACCAACCCTTATTGGGACAGCCCTTTAAAACGCCGCCATTAATTAATTAATTAATTACATCACATGTAATTAAATAATAATTTAAAACTGTACCGGACCATGAGAGAGATTAAAGTAATTACTCTACACCTGCTAGTGAGCTTAAATATTCTATGCATATAAACATATGCATTTGACAATATATATAAATTTAATTAGTAAATAGATTTCACTGGTTACATGGCAAACAATTTGAACAATGATAACATAAGAGTAACTTCTACGCATCATATGCATAGATTACTTAATAGATCCCATATGCAATGCAGGTCATAAATACACATAAATTCACTAATCATATAAAGATTATTATAAAAAAAAAATAATAATTTTATATTAATTAGTACCACATTCTAGTCATATTACCCATTAAAGATGGAAACACCCACCTAACAGATGGCTTTTGAAATAAAAAGAAATATGTGTGTTAGTCATTTACTTGCCTAGTACAGTGGTACTATACATTGCCCATTGATTTATCACTGCACGCCCATCACATGGGTATTACATGTGCGAACTAGTGGTTGCTATTTGCAGCCACAACATCATGCGAAATTTAGAATCTCTACTATAACGTGACTGCCCATTACAATGCACTAATTACAATGACAAACTTATGTGTAAATAGTGTAATACCAAAACAACACACAACCCATGAATCAAATCCAGAGACGCTACTTTCCAACCAAAAGCACTACTGGTCAAGAAATAGTCTCCTATTAAAACTCAAAAGATAAGTTTTTCCATTGATATATATATACACATATATATATAAGTAAAACGTGAATCTAGTAATCAATAGATTATCAGCACAGCCATTGGATAAAATAATTTTCTATTTTTATTTTTATTTATTTATTAGTACTACCAAAAATCTGAAACTGGCAATCAACAGATTACTCTTTTTGTCGTGTGACACCCATCACATGGGTGTGCACAGATCAAAATCAGTTGTAACTGTGCATCAGTTGATACCACTAATACAAATATTATTTATACAGATCACCAAAAATAGACCCCCATGCATTTTAATCACCCATTCTCATGGGTGTTGTCTTACTGTGTCACCAATGGCTGTCGTACTGTTTAGGAAATTTATTTACTTTATTCGCTGTGATCCAATTTTCATATAATGGATTATTTGATCAAATAATAAATAAAATACATATTCATGAAACAGACAAAAATAATTCATGAATATAAATCTATATAATCATAGATAATAATCATATAATCAAATCAACATCATGATTTGATGAAAAGCACGTGGGTTGCTCTGATACCAATTGAAGGCACAATGGAAGCGATTTAAAAATTTTCAGGATCATATCCACAGGACATTTCACCAAATCAATAACTGGAATATTTGTAAAAGATTTCATACATTTGGACGATTGATTAATAGTCAACACTCCGAGAATAACAGTGAATTAGATTGGTCCTTCTTTGGCCATGAACACCAGTAAACTTTCACCTCTATATCCCCAGAATACACAGATTTGTGGAAACCCTATATCTCTTACTCTCGTTATTCTGTATTCTATAAGATTGTGTGTATATCCGAATAAAAGAGATATATCATGTATATAGATGGGGTTAGAGATAAGGATCAAAAGCGATTCTTATCCTAGCTCCAACTAGATAGAGATAAAGTTATCTCATAACTCTATCCTATCTAATTAATTATAATAAGTACCACAATAATATTGTAATTGTAATATAGGATTTAGAAATTACAACAAAGTCTTGTCATATTAAATAACTACATATAAGTCCCTCCACTACCGAACATTTATAAGTAGCCCCAAGGAAAATAAATACTGTTCCACCTAAGGCATGCTTACTTCTTATATTCTTTGAGTAACTAATTTAATCCTTATGATCACTGAATTTCTTTTATAAAATAATTTTTCAAAATAAATATTTTTCTAAATAAATAATAGAAAAATAATTTAGTAAATATTTTACTAAAATGCCCTAACCAGGTTCCAGTGATCAAACTTATTAAATTACATCAAGGGGATATTCTAACTCTTATAGAGTATGGATTCCATGTTGAGCATTTGTGTTCCCAGAGCTCCAACATTAGCCACCCAAGATACCATGATATTGACCTTAAAAGATTTCACATATTGGTAAGTCAAAATGACCAATACTAAAACTTAAGTCCACTAAACCTCTCAGGATTTAAAGGTTAATGTATCTAGTAGATAAGAATCACACCAAAATAATAATAGTAATTTGTATGGTGTGATGTTATGGTGATCCAGTTCAGTGTACTTTAAGCACACTAACATACTGCGTTAGAGTCAACTACCCCAATGGTCGAGACAAAACATCATATCTTATAGAGGTCAAGTGTGTTTCAGTCTTACAGATAAAAGTGCCCAACTTTTATAACTGACTGCGAACAATGCCAAGGTGCAAGAAACCAGTGAGCTCAATTCTTTTGCATGTAAATCTCATTTACACACTTAAGTCACTTATAATGCAACTTGAGGACAATAATGCATCTCATGCAAAAATGTGTAAAGCGAATGCATGAATATCACATTTATTAATAAAATATCGAATAACTAATTGGCTTGTAGGGCATATAATCCCAACAGAAGATAATCCATGCTTAGGTTTAATTTTTAATCATCTTATAACTGAATTAATATGTGCTTGTAGCCATGATTAATTTCTTATGCATTTTCATATCTCTTCAATAAAATGATGCAATTGACTGGTTAGTGGTGAAATCGTGTCCATAGTCTCATCTCTCTTATTTTCTTCATCTAATTTAATTATTTCCTTTTATTTAATTTTCTACTTAGTTCATTAGATTAAATCATCAAAACTTGTTTGTCCTATTTCAAGTAAATTTAGAATTTAATAAATATGTTAACAACTTCATTAATGCAAATCTTTTGGATATGACACTCTTACAAAAAAAAAAGTCCTATTTGCAAAAATCCATACACTTACAGGTGGTTACATCTAAGTTAACAACACTCTCTCTTTTAAACTTTGAATCATTGTACAACAAATTTAACTACCATACAAGTTTCTCTATCGTAACAAATTTCAATACAACAAAAATATTGCTTTTGATTTGTATGAAATCAAAAATGAAAAATGGAAACAATCCTCAAATGGTTACAAGGTAACAGTTTCGTAATTACAAAAGTGACCCTCTTGGGAAATGTCTTCTGTCTTTCTAGATACATTAGTAATTGCATTCGTGTCATCATTAAAGCCATTTTCTGTCATTCCATCATTAATCACTAGTGAGCGATGCTCTCCAACGTGGTTTCCTCTTTGGCAATTGATCTTTGTTGATTTGTTTTATTTTTTCCTTCTTTGTACTTTCCCCACAAAATGCCGTAGAAGCCCCCAATCAATAATATAGCTCCACCAACACTATTGCCAATATAACAACGATTTCCATCAATGTTTAAGAATTTGTTTGTGCATAGACATTATATATATGTATATAAGTTAAGGAATTGTTTTGTCTATTCAGACGCACACAAAATGGTAAAGCTAACTTCACCTCAACAGGGGAACATTAAGGTATCTTTTTACGAATTAAACAAAGAATTCCCTACCAATTGGTTGTATATCAACAAAATTAATGTAGTTAGGGGCATTCATGTGTTTTAAGCCCTCTAGTTTCTGGTACTTTTAATTAATGAGATGAATTAATTAATCTATAAAAATTACATGACTGATTGTCTATACTGAGTTAGTATCGATAGTTTTTTATTTTTATTTATTTATTTATTTTTTGCATGTGGAGACAACTTAATCTTCCATATTAAAGTGAAGGTAACTGTACTCTCTTTATCTTCTATATATATATATATATATTATACACATACACACACATATAATAATATATAAGAAGAGAGTTTAGGGATATCAGTCTCTTATTTTTTAAAGAGATGTTAAGAATTTAAGTATCAGAAAAGACATATGTGTGTGAGTACCAATTAGAAAAAAAAAAATTTGTACCTTCCCAAATGAAGAATCTCATTCCAGAAGAATGCAGAAAAGACAGCTGTTATGATAAATGCTAATGGAGTGAATATAGCAACGAAAACAGGGCCCTTCTTATTTATGATCCAAACTCGCAACCAGATGCCAATCCCAGTGACAGTTATGCCCTACATTCCATAAATATTGAGATTAAGAAATCCAAATATATGAATATAGATGTGTTTTTTTTTTTCTTTTTTTCTTTTAGATATATGTTGATGCTAGCTATAAGACCTTTTAAAATATATCTTTACCAAAATATAAACTATGTAATATAACAACAATTTTCTTGTTCACAACATCAAGAATAACCATATTTCAATATCAACCATGGGTAAACTTAAGTAATTGGTGAACAAATTTGGACTCAGACTGTCTAGGACTAGGGATGGCAATGGGGTGGGGCGGGGCGGGGATCTCATTCCCCATCCCCATCCTCGCTGAATTTTTCAATACCCATCCCCGCTTAAAATTTCACCACCACCACCACCACCCCCATACCCGCCCCTGCCCCCGACCCCGACCCCGACCCCGACCCCTTATCCCCATCCCCGCCCCATCTCCAGCCCAGATTAACATATATTATTTAAAAAAAAAAAAAAAACTTAATTTTTCTTATTTTCATATGTATACTAAATCTAATTTAGTAATAAATTATTAAATGTAAGGATATATTAGTAATTTAACACTTAATCGGGACGGGTTTACTTCATCCCCGCACCCGCCCCCGACCCCGACCCCGGTGGGTTTTCAAAATATACCTCCATCTCCATCCTCATTTACATAAAAGGGTCCACATCCTTACTATAAACGGGGCAAAGCGGGGACCCGGTAGGGATGAGAAATTTGCCATCCCTATCTAGGACATGACTGTTGTTCGTTTTTCATGTGAATTAGCTGAATTTAAGTATGAAGCACTAATTATGAACTCATTTTTTACATGGGCTGATTTTGAATGATGGTACTCTTAACTCATTAGGTTTGTATTAAAATTTCTAATAGTTTTTCTTTTTGGGTTCAGTGTTAAGTAATTAGGTTAATCTCATTAATAAAACCTCATTCACTAGTAAATGCAATGGCTATAAAGGCCCACTTCTTTCTCAATTTGAGTTGTAGGTATTATAATTGAACTATAAATGTTTATAACAAATATAATATAAAATTATAAACCAACTATTTACAGGGGAACCCAGGTTTGGGTCCCCGTAAGATCGAAGGTGAGGAGGTTTGGGTCAGCAGAGTATTCATCTTTTCCTAGGGTAACTGTAGAGTAAATTTGTTTAGAATTAGTCACTCAGTGACTTAAATAAAAAATTTCAAAAAATAATATTTTCCAAAAAATAAAATAGGTAAACAAATAAATATTCAACTCTATGGAATGTTTTATAATTTTTTAACAATCATAAATTCATTTTGTTACTCTTTTAATTTGATTTAATATTATGATATGATTGAAAAAAATAAAAAATAATAATTATTGTAATATAAATAAACAGATAGTGAATTAATTAATGCTACCATAGGTTTTACCACGAATTTTTTTCCTACTATTCATATTATCTTTGTAATATATATGCATATATTTACAATTTATTATTTTTTAAGAATGGTACAGTCTATGTCCGTATGTATCACTTGTCGTCCTAATTTTTTCATGTTCATTCATTTACTAAAGAAAATGATATTTAGTCCAAGATAGGCCGTAAATGAGCCGAGCCAAGCTTTGGTTGTTCCGGCTTGGCCGAGTTTAGCCTAACTAAGCTCGGACTCGACTCGTCAGAAATTAGAAAAGCTTAGGCTCGGCTCGGGACCGATAGCATACCAAACAATCATTGATTCAAGAAATCGTCATTACCTCTTCCATGAAATCCAATTTCCATCTTCGACCAGAAAGAAATCAAACTTTGAATTGATGAAATCTTTATCTCCATCTCCAACAAGAAAGAAATCGCACTCCAAGAAAGGAAAAATAAAAAAAAAAACTAAACAAAATTTAAAATAAAATCAAAACTTCGAAGGTTTTATTCGTGATCTACAGTATTATTGCACTACTCTAACTGGTCAACCTTGAGATCCATTAGAGAGAGATGAGCTCTGTGTTCACATGATTGGGATTGCTGGCAAGATCATTCGGAAGTGAAGAGGACATGCCACTATAGACTTGTGGCCTGGACTATTTAATTAGAAGTCTTTAGGCCTTATTAATAAGATGGTTTGAATTGGACTAAACTTGTATGGTTATAAACATCTTAAATACTGAATATGGGCTCCACGTTTTAAATGTGAAATGATATTACAAAATTGCCATTTTACTTACCGAGTTTGTTCATGAGCCTAATGAGCCGAGCTCAAGGTTGCTCAAGCTCGGCTCGTTTACTAAATGAGCCTGAAAATTAAGCCTGAACTTTGCTTATTTACTAAACGAATGAGCCCGAGCCAAGCTTTTAACGAGTCGAGTCTAAGCTGTTCCGATTCATGAACAACTCGGTTCATTTGCAACCCTAGTCCAAGAGTCGGATACAACCACTTTAACAATAAGTTAATAAATATAGGATAATTTACACAAATCTCCCCTTTGCCATACACGGACCTCACCTGTGGTATGAGAATTTACTCAGACCTCCCCTAATAATGAAAATGTCTTACACAGACCTTCCTTCTGTTAGAGTTAATGTCAGTCAAAGACGGAATATGCTGACATCATGTACAAATTTTACTAAAATTCCTATAATACTCTTGTCCCTACCAATTGATATATATATATATATATATATATATATTTCACAAACCCTTGTCCCAATAACAAAGTCAAGTCAGTGAACAAGATGAATTGTTATGTCACCCTTCTGATTTCTTGGCTCGAATCCATGATTTCCGAACTCAACCCTATATATATATATATTTCACAAACCCTTGTCCCAATAACAAAGTCAAGTCAGTGAACAAGATGAATTGTTATGTCACCCTTCTGATTTCTTGGCTCGAATCCATGATTTCCGAACTCAACCCTCTCCCTCTCCCTAATTTCGATTCCATTCCGTCTCCACTTCTGGCTCGAAGCCAACACAAGTTTTTTGTACCCATGCTCTCAAATTGAGTATGTAGTTTAAGAGTAAACAAATACTACAGGGATAGCAAACAAAACCCAACAATTCAATTAAAAATCTAACACACCCAATTCGATAATCCAAGTTTTAAGCTTTTTCAGGCTAAATTCGAATCAATCTTCTTGGCATAAGAATTAAGCAAAAAGATTAACAACGTGTGAGTACCGTCAGGGCCGAGACTGGATCGCTTCTTGGGGTTGTTCAAGATCGATAAGCCATGTTTCAAAACCTTGTTAGAGCGTCAAAGGTTGAGCTTCCGAACGAGGGACAGGTAGTCCCAAGCCCCTCCTCCTTCATTGTCCACCTGGTTCTCGAGCCTGTTCACTAGGCTTCTTTTTTTTCACTCACCATCTTCTTAATGATTCACATTATTCCACTCTCTCTCTCTATAAATATATTTGTTTTCTCTCTCTAGTGGCCTGTGTGTATGGATCTGTGGAGGAGAGAGAACATATCGACTTAACAAGGCAGGGGGACTTCTCTGCGGCTGATCACTGTGATCTAGCCGAATCATCCATTATCACCTCACTCGACAATAATTGCTCTCTATTTTTCATCCGACTCATCCACGCTCTAATGGCCTGCAGAAGCTATTCAACAAGACAAGCTCAAGCTCACAGAGGTGAATCAAAAGAACCGCCGGTGATAACAGCACGTGGATTGACAGAAACATGTTTTGCGTCGTTTGGGAAAGTACATTAATTGAAAAGAAAAAAAAATTATATGTATATATATATATATATATGTGTGGCTTCACTCTTATAAAAAGCTTATGAGTATTTTAGCAATTTAAGATAACAATGTGTGGGTATTTCAATAATTTTGACAGGTCTATTAGTGTATTTGACAGTCCGTCACACATAAGAGATGTCCATGTAGAATATTTTTATTGTTATGGGAGGTCCAAGTAAATTTTTAAACCACAAGGAAGGTCTATGTAATTATGACAAACCATATGATTGGTTTGTGTAAATTACCTATAAATATATCATCACTTAAAGGAAAATGCTCAGTAATAATATGAAGAGAGAATGAACTTTAAGTCTTAACAAAGGAAGGTTGAGGGCTGGCGACTCTCTCTCTAGAAACAAGATATTTTCATTCTTACTTCGTCATCATCAATAAATGGTGGTGGAGGGTTGGCGGGTTAGAGAGAGAGAGGGGAGAGAGAGAGAGACCCAGTTGGGAAAAAAGAGAGGCTAAAGTTAGCAGCCAATAGGCTACTGACACGTGGGCAACTAATATTGTCCAATAATGTAATTTTGTTCAATGAAGGAATTTGCTAAACGACATTATTTTCGTTTATGCCTATTTAAGTCATTTTACAATATAATGTATTTTTTAATAATATGTAAAATGTGTATATAAAAGTAATTTAGTCAAGTTATAATTTAAATATGCTAGGTGAGACGTATTTACATAAATTAAAACTATAAGGTGTTTTATGCACAAGAGCAATGCGATGCCCATTGAAAACTCCTATAGTGAACCCAAATAAGTGTTCCTCATTTAAAACCTCTATGTGGTATAAAAGTTCACAAATATTATCAATTTACTATTAATTACGATATAAAGTCAATTTGTATGAATAATTAAGAATAAGGGTAAAATGCAAGAAACCACATGAACTATTGGTAAACCAACATGAAACTCCTTAAACTACAAAAGTGGCAACTAACTTCCTTAACTATTGAAATTTTTTACAGATTATCCCATTAGGCCACCATCTAGCAATTTATAACTGTTAAAATAGCATGTGTTTGTCATGTGAGAATTATTGGACAATAATACCCTTACAAGATGTAAAAGACCAAATTGCCCATCTAAGTAACCGTAGAGCCAAACACCTTCTTTATACGTTTATATATATGTATATGCCAAACTGCATAGTTGTAGAAACCCTAACCCATTTTGAGAAAATCATAAAATTGAAGACCTAAATCAACCTCATTCCTTTCAATATTGGTTCTGCTGGACAAACCTCCTTAATTTTGAGTCATACTTGAACAATTTGTGTCACTCCTATCGTGGTGTACCCGCTCTGTGACCTTGGTGAGGCGGCGACGATGGTGGTGGCGAGGTGGGGTGGTGGAAGTGGTTTGTGTGGTTCGATTAGGTTTGATGGTGTATGGTTAATTTTCCATTATGGTTGGATTGGTTGATGTTGTGGTGGTGCTGATGGATGTGATTGAGGTGGCGGTAATGGTGGTGGTGAAGGTGGGGTGGTGGTAGTGGGTTTATGGGTTCGATTTTGTTTTACGATGTGTGGCGGTGTATGTTTCATGAGTTTCCAAATGGTTGTACATATGGTTTGTCAGCTTCTACTTCTATGTGTTAAGGTGTAGTGGTGATGGCAGTGGCGGTGATGGTGGTGGCGGTTGTGGGTTTTGTGGTTCAATTAGGTTTCATAATTTGGTTTAGCATCAATTGTTCGAGTTTCTGTTCCTTTGGGTCTGGTTGTGGGTGTAGGTTTGAGGTGGTGGCAGTGAATAGGGATGGCAATGGGGGCGGGTTTGGGGCGCGTGTACCTTCCCTCACCCACGTAACCGTTTAAAAACCCGGCCCCGTCCCCGCCTAAAACTGTAAAAATGGGGAAACTTTTCACCCAATCCCTGCAACCGTTTAACATTTTTACCCTCGCGGGTACCCGCACCGCCCCGTTTAAGACCATAATTTATTTATTGTTGAAATAGATTTGCTATTTTTTTTCCAATCATCTTCAGTTCTTCACCATTCTAACTTTCTTTCTAATCAAATTCATTTGTTACTTTAATATTGTTATATAGGGTACTTAATATATATACTAGGAAACATATATACTAATGAAATAAGGGTACTTAAGTAATTTGCCTATCTAAACGGGGCGGGGCGATGCGGGGCGACCTCCCTCCACCCCCGCACCAAACCCGTACATGTTTTTATTACATCAAACCATTCTCGCCCAAATAAGCTAAATAGTGTCCCAAAACAGCCAAAAATGGGGTGGGGTGGGTAACCGTGGGGGCGGGTCAAATTGCCATCCCTAGTAGTGAATTTGTGTAATTACATTTGGTGATGGAGGTAGCATTGTGGAAGACGTTGGGGTGGTAACAGTGAGTTTGTGGTTTTGATTGGTTTTCTATATTTGCACTCTCATATAAAAGAAAATGACTCTTTTAATTTTAATCCTAACTTCATGAATAAGTGAATTTTTTTAAAAAAAATTTAATCAAATTTCACAATTACTGTATGATTGGTCTCCCCTCCCTCCCTCCAATTTTTAATATATATATTTTTAGTCTCTTATGACATATGAAGTACGAATACTTCTACGAAGGAGCCGTACCCGTATCGTATCGATGTTGGACACCGATATTCCTCGGACACTCCTCAAATACTTGTCTGACACTTCATATACGTGTCCATAAATAAAAGTTAATATTATTATGTTGGACACTTCGCAGACTTCCCAGGCATTTCTAATACAAGTCTACCTAGTAATCTTGAAAATAATATAAATGTTATCATCACAAAGTAGTGAAATAACGGTATATATGATATAAAAATCATTACAATAATGACATTATTTCATTTTCTAATTCATTTCAAAGCAATTCTTAAGAAAGAAATTATAAATGAATTAAAGTTTTATAATACTATTACTGAATAGATGTATAAAAATAAAAATTTATGTTTATATGTAGCCGTATCCACGTCGTACTTGTGTCCTACTTTTTTAAAAATTTGACGTATCGACTTATCTATGTCGTATCGTATCTGTATCTCGTATCCATATCCGTGCTATATGGTTTATGACAAACCAGAAAACAAATACCCCTCCCCCAAAAAATAAAGTTATAAACAAAATAATATGTTTTGACGTGACCAAAAAATATAAAATAAAAAATAAAATAGAAAGTTCTCTTTGCATAAATTATCTTTTTGATAAGACTCAAAAATAAAAAATAAAATTAAGGAAAAAAATTCAAAAATAAAGTTATAGCTGTTGCATAAATTATCTCTTTTTGATTGGACCAAAAATTAAAAAAAAATTCATATCTCCTATTGAATAAATAATCCCTATTGGCAAGACCCAAAGACATAAAAAAGTTCCGAAAAAGGACCCAAATAAAAGTCATCTCTATTAAATAAATTATCTTTTTAATGGGATAAATAAAAAAATGTATTAAAGAAAGTAAAGAAGGTAAAAAAATAGTTAAGATTTTTATTACAAATGATGATAACAGTATTATAAAATAGAAAATTGTGCATTAATAAATTTAAGTAACTTTTAATCATCTTCTTTAAAAGGAAAAGGCAAGTCAATATGCCTCCCAAAAATTATTTAGATTTGTAATAAAGTTCTTTGCAAAGGTAACATTAATAAAATTTACTCTCAATAAATTATTTAGGCCTTAGTGTACTAAACCCACTGTTTTCAAAAGCCTGCAAAATTCCCTCTTAAATTTTTTTTGGAAGCAACAAACACCCACAATTTACCAATGGAAACAAATTACCCTCATTTGGCTAACTTAGGAATAACTAGAGTTAATGTATGATGTAAAATTACACAACAACCCATAGATTATAATATTTGTGATGGTGGACGGAAAGAGAGAGGATGAAGAAAGAAACCTAAGTTTCTGACAGGAGATAACGCGGAGCCAGACGTATATAGTTTTATCAAGGGAGATAACGAGAAGCCAGTATATAGCCTTGTGGTCCAGTGATATTTCACCTAACTCTCAAAATGAATGATAATGGTTTGAGTCTTTAAATGAGCAAAGTGGATCTGTAAGTGACTCAGTGATATCTCATCTATCTCTAAAAATAAATAGTAATGATTTGAGTCTCCAAATGAGCAAAGTGGGTGTGTGAGTGGTGGAGTGTGTAAGTTTCTTACCAAAAAAAAAAAAGAAAAAAAAGAAGAAGATAAGAAAAAGGTATATGATTTTTCCTCACATAATTAATAAATCAACACCACTTTTAATATTATAATTTCTTAGAACAAGCCACTAAAGAATATATATATATATATATATTAATGAAAAAATTGCATAAATATTTTATGGGTTTGATTTCTCTCTCTCTACACTACTTCAGGCCAACCTCATATACAATTAAAAATAGCATTTAAATATATCAACATACACAAGCAGCCAATTATGAGAGCTGACATTTGATCAACAAAATGCAAATTAATATTACCTCCGTCTCAAAAATAGTGTCATGTTTTAGGAATCGTGTCAGTTCAATTTGTGAGAGTCACGGTTTCTTAAAAGTGACACTTTTTATGGGACGGAGGGAGTAAATGGTTACCAACAGCCAAAGGAGATGTAGACTCCGCTAGATTGATTTTGATTTTGGAGCAATTAGATCGAGTTGCTATGATTTTTGACCAATACTAAGATGAAGTTGGGTTTTGGCAAGAAGATTGAGATTTTAATAAAAACAAAAACAACAAAGTAACAACTCATAACACAGAAAAATAAGGATAGAAAACTTTGGAGGGGCTAGTATAGTGCCTTAAGCCCAAATCACTGTAGCCCTCAGCCCATAATTGGGTTAAGGGCATGTTTGGTTGGAAAAAATATTCAAGAAACCTGTCTTTTGAGTGTTTTTTTTTTTTTTTTTTCAACACAATTGAACAAAAGAGCCGTTGAGGCATTGTTTGACTGATATAAATAGTGTCTTAAAAGTTTTTTTTAACACAATTGAACAAAAGAGCAGTTAAGGCACTGTTTGACTGACATAAATAGTGCGTTAAAGGTTTTTTTCGACAAAAAAAGTAAAAAAAAAAGAAAAAAAAGAAAAAAAAAAAGAGATGAGCTAGTGCATTTTAAATAGATAAAAAATTATTGTATATGATTGTGTCATATGATTGTTCTTTAAAAAAAGGAAAAAAAAAAAAAAATTGTAATATGGTTGTTATTTTTTCTAGTTCATTTTAATAATGATATTGTATTATTTATTTATTTATTTTTTAAAAAATCATATAGTATTGTATTGTTTTAATTTTCTAATCCTTATTAAATTTGTATTGTTTAATAGTTTTTGTATGATATAGCTGTTATAGAAGTCTAATCAAAATATCAAATCATAAAAAAAACAATTCATTAAATTTTTTTAAAATATTAAAATATTTCGAATTTTGGAGAGCAAAAACTCACAATTGGAATACCTGCAATAGCTAAAATTTAGAGAGTCAAAAATATTGACGTGACTATTGGAAATGATTACGGGACTATTGAAAAATGTTGACATGGCAAATTTGGAGACCCAAATTTTAGAGATGCCACTAAGATGCTCTAATAGCAGCTTTCTATTTTGAAGTTCTATATTTATGGGTTGTTGTGTCCTAGTCGGTTAAATTGGAGTAATTTGCTGCATTTTGTAAATTGTTAGAGGATGTATTATGCCAACTTTTTGAAATTAGAAGGGGGGCTTAGTGCACCAAGGCCAGAAATTTAAGATACCAAAGTCTATTTGAATATGAATTGGTAAAACTAACTTTCACAAGATTAGTTGTGATAACAGATGAAGAAACTTACACAAAACACAACGGAGATAAGATTCACATCCCAACCAAGCTTCCATGATGATATCGTCCTGTTCATCGCAACCGCCCATATTGCTGATTGTATGCTGCTAAAGAAGTACTGTAGAGTTGCAAGACGTAATGTGGATGGATATTGCTTCACAATGGGTGCCTAAAAGCAAGAACAAAAACCATATTGAAGAAGCTTTTTTAATTTTAGAATATATTTTTAGGACAACGGAAATCAATGCACAAATAATTATCTCTCTTTTTGCGATTTTCAAAATGTGTCTACACCTTTAGGAGGTGTTCACACATAAATGCCAATCTCGCCAAGGGGTGTTCACACATAAATGCCAACCTCTCCCTGGGCCATATTCTAAGTCACATCCCTATTGAAGATAGACGAAAAGTTTTCACTATGCCAAGAAAAATGAAGAATATAAGTTGTCAATCCCTACACATTTTTTTTTTTTTTTTTGTTAGAATATTTTGTCATATCCAAGTTAAAGACCTTAGCACCCTTATATATTGAGTTACAACAGATATTAGCATTCAAGTTCATAACCTGAGATAAAAAGGGACAAAGATGGAAACAAAATTTAGGTCACAACTTCACACACACGAATATAGAGATAGAAGCGATGAACCTGCAAAATAAGCCACATGGACCATGTTATGTTGGCTGAGAGCATGACTAGAGAGCCTTTTATCCAGTTTCCTCTGGAAATATGGTTTATTGATGCGTTTGAAGCTCCTTTCTGGGTGCCTGAATAAATAGGAGGCCCCTTAAAAAGTATTAACACTACAGCCCCAGAAAGAACCATCATAGAACCCAACACTTTGGCTCTTCCATGCCATTGCCTCAGAGAAATACTTTCCATCCTGAAATGTTCAAAATCATGCGGACTTTAAGTTTTAATTTCCTTAAAGAAAAAGTTGATTATTTTTCCGAAAATATTTGATTATTGATATTTTATTTATTTTCGCATTACCTTAAGAAAACTGCCATGATAAATGTAATGGCCGGAACTGTGTTCATGCTGGCAGAAGCATATGTTGCGGTGGTGTAATTTAAAGCGAAATTGAAGAGATTAAGACAGACAGTGAACCTGAAATTGTAAAAAAAAAAATAATAATTATATTGCGAGTTAAACATTAGCTCACTGAATATCATAAAAGTAGCCCCAATGTAAATCATGAGATCGAAATAAAAAGGGACTTGCATACCCAACTAAAGCAGCAAAGAAAATCTTGCAGAGTAAGTTGTACGATAGAGGGGCTGACCTGTTACTGCACATTAGGAAGTGAAAAAACGCAGTACAGTTAATATCATAAGCAAATTCAAGCACATGCAGATGCAGTAGAGTTAATTAGAATTGTATGTTGGTGCAACCTTTCGAGGAAAAAAGCGAATGGAGCTAACACAAGTGTGGCAATAGCATGCTGATAAAAAACAAACACATAAGAATTCATTCCTCTAACAATTGCAGCCTTGGAGAGCAAGGCCGTGCCTGCATTGATACATTGTATAAGGATAATTGCAATATAAGCCTTATTTTTGTCTGCAGAAATTGGAAATCCAAGTGAACTCTTCATGCTAGCTAGTATATAATTTGGCTTCCTTCAAGGGTCTATCTTTTTTAGTTTAGGGTACACTTTCCCAGCTATAGATGCTATTTCTTTCAATCTTAAAATGTCAAAGTGGGTTCAATAAAAAGGCAATACAAAAGCCATTGAATTTGAAATCCAAGTGGTGGGTTTTGACATGGATTCTCTTACCCAGAGTCTTTTAGAAAGATATATGCTTCAACTAATAAAATCTCAACAAGTTGATGGGAATTCCAAAGTGCTACAGCGGAATCTGCTTCTAAAACAATGATAAAGAAGCATATGCTATATGTCATGAGCACTAAGACACTATTCGTAATGTTAGGACATATCCACTAGTTGAAGTGCTTGCTGTTTGTTAGAATAAGACGACTGGTTAATATATAGATATATATTTTTATAATATACCTATTTATTTATTGGCGGAAACATTAGAAATCACCTTTTTTGATTGCTGATGATATATTTCAAACTAGTATTGTTCAACTGGGCACGTCCCTGAAGCAGAAGGTGCTCTTTTATATATATTATACTGGCATCAATTTGATTATGTTATGAAAGCACTAAGATGGTTGAGTGCTATCAACTAATTAATGAAGTTTAATGTGATTTCAAAGGCCTAAGGGATACATCTTGTGATTATTTCTCTTGATCTAATTAAGCTTTTCAACATAGGTGCAATCAAGGGCGGAGCCAGAAATATAAAATTGGCAGCCAAATTACTAGTATAAAATTGAATTTTTTAAAAATAAATAATTGTAACAAATTTTTTTTTAGTGCATTTTAAATTTTTATTATTATTTTTTTCGTTAACATGTCTATAAATTATATGTATATAATAATAAAACTAAATATTGTATGAAGGATATGAATAGAGTACTGATATGTTATATCAAGATTGCAATAATAACCTTCCAAAAAAAAAAAAAAGAACATAAGCAATTTCTTTTGCAAACCATCTTTAATAATCATAAATAAATAACAAAAATAAGTATTTTTTTTGTAAATTTGGAAGGCCAATTTTAATTTTTCTATAGTAAATTACCATTAATAATCATAAATATACACTATTAATAGAAGTATAGAAGTTACAGAAAATTTTTAGGGGGTCAATTTAAATTTTTCAATACTAAATTATCTTTAATAAATAAAAATATAGACCAATAATAGAGGTTACACAAAAAAAAAAAATGGGTTCTTCAAGTCAAAAGGGTAAAGTGTAAAGAAAATCCTACCTGAATGTGTAAATACTAATGTGATGTTCAAAAAATTGCACGATATTTTTCATATTGAACAAATAAGGATAATAATTTGAAGGCTAAAATATCTAAAATGACTTTAAGGCATCTTAGTGAGAAGTGAAATTATTATTATTATTGGGAATCATATAATATATACATCATGGAGTGTTGGCCATATAAAAAGAATAAAGTTTGAATCCCATAAAATATGGGATTTTCCTAACTAAATCAAGATATTAGTTAAATGAGGATTAATTTCCAACTAATTACAAAGTCAAGGAATAAAGTTTGAATCCCATAAAATATGGGATTTTCCTATCTAAATCAAGATTCTAGCTAAATGAGGATTAATTTTCAACTAATTACAAAGTCAAAGATTTTCCTCCTTAATTTACAACTATACCCGGTTTTCGGAAAAATGTGAATTTCGAACAAGACAAAATAAAAATAGAACACTCATTTAAAAATTTGAGATTTTTATAAACATTTTTGAGGTTTATAGAAAAATTTTGGGTATTGGGTTATTTTGGGGTTTTGAAATTTTTTTGGAATTTCGGGCATTTTTTATAATATTAAAATACCTAAAATGCCCTTAAGGGTATTTCTGGGTTTTATAAAAAAAAAATATTTGGTCAAAATTACTGACTAGGGAGCAATTTGCTACAAAATTCAAAACACATGGACTTATATGCACTTTTTAAACAGTGGGGGTATTTTTTTACACATTTCTTATAAAGCATGCCTTTTTTATTTATTTATTTTCTGTGTGCGTGTGTGTGTGTGTGTGTTGCACTTTACCCTATATAAAATATAAATTTAATTAGCTGTCAAAAATTGATAACATAACAATAGAATTAATTAGTAAAAATTGGATTGTGTTTGGACAAAAAGAAGACATTCAAGTGATATTTTATGTGATATAAGATATCAATTATATAAGCCAAAACAACTAATATAGCCTTGTTTTTGATCACTGAACCTTTCTCATTCATCTTGTTTATGAAAATCCACTTAAAGCCAATGACATTCTTGTCTTCTGGTCTTGGGTCCAAGTATAATTTTCATTTTTTTTTTTGTATGTATGTATGTATTTGATCAAGTTATTCCTTCATAGCTGCTAAACAATCTTCACCATTCTTGGCCTCATTGTAGGTCTTTGGTTCAATTGAAGAGAGCATGATAAAGTTATTACATTCATCATCTTCTTGTTCAAGTTCACTAAGTTTCTTCTTAGCCATGGTTTAAATGCCTTCCTTAGGACTTCCAATGATGTTTTCATTTTGAACTTGCTTCTGCAGAAAGGGATATGTGGTTTCATTGAATAACAAGCTCTGAGTGTGAAGTACTTACTTCATTTGACCCTGGTAAAGAACCTTCATTTTTAGAGACAGTGGCTTGAGGATTCTCATCAAACTTCATATGAATTGACTTAACCATTTTAGAGGTTCTAAGATTGTAATATCTATAAGCCTTGCTCTTGGTTGAGTATCCCAAAAAGATGCCCTCTTCAGCCTTTGAATAAAACTTTCCCAAGCTGTCAATGTGATTAAGAATGTAGCACTTACATCCAAATACCTTAAAGTAATGGACTGTTGCAGGTCTTCTATACCAAAGTTCAGAGGGGGTTTTGGTTGAATTAGGCCTAAGAAGCACTGTGTTTATAATGTACATAGCTTCAACCCAAAAGCCTTTTGCAAGGCCTTTTTCAAGTAGCATTGTCCTCCCTATTTTTAGTACTATTCTGTTCTTCCTCTCTATAACACTATTTTGTTGGACCAGGGGGGGGGGGGGGGTGGTGAATTGGTCAAAACCTTCTTTCTTGAACAACTAAATAACAATCAAAATAGTAAGCAATAAACCCTACAACATAATTTACAAGGAAACCCTCTTAATCAGGGAAAACCTTGGTTCTTGGCTAATGCCAAATCAATCATCCACTAGTTGCAAGCAAGCTGTTGCACACTCAGCTGTCTCACTCTCTGCACACACCCTTGTCACAGAAGTAGACACTAGTTTTCACACACTCTACTCACACACTAGCTCAACAAGTGTATACACACAATCCCCCTGTCCTAGTCAACTCTGTAATACCACTAATTTCAAAAGGATAGTCCTGGTATTTCCTTTATTGTTTAACTTTAAATTTTTAATTGTTTAAATGTATATGTGTTTATTTAATTTTAAATGTATATGTGTTTATTTAATTGCTTTAATTGTGGTTACCTTATTTAATTGTTTTAATTTTTGATTTAGTATATTAGTTACTTAATTGTTATTTAAATTGTGTTTGTTTAGTTAGTTGATTTAATGGTATGAATTTAATTAATTAAATATATTTAGTTTTAACGTGACTGGAGGATTGGATGTATACATTAGGTTTATAGTTCACAGCCATCATTGAATTTAACCTAGATTTCATTATGGCCGAGTAAATCCAGTTAGGGTTTAAGAGAACCTAGGATTGGTTTGGCCTATAAATACTTACCTAGGATGTCTGCCTAGGGTTTTAGAGATATACTACGACAAAGTAAGGCTGAGAGAAGTTTTGGAGATGGTTGGGAAAGAGCAGAGAATAAACAAAGGATTCGCTGGAGAATTGAGACGGACATCGGTGTAAGGTAAGTTCTATCCTTACTCTCTCCCTTAGGCTTCGTGTTCTTTGCATTCTTAAATAGTTCTAGGATTAATTAAATCAATCATAAATTTTCTCTCTTCGTGCTTAAACTGAAACATATCAGTATGTGTAGCATGCTTGAAAAACCTATTAAAACATGTTATTTGCTTGCTTAATTCTATGTTTAAACCTATGTATGGAATGTGTTAATGACTTAAACATGGACTAGGAACCTACTGGGATTGAGTTACAACTTCTGGAAACCATAGCGTAGGGCAGAGAAGTTGCAGAAGACGTCTGAAGAAGATGGAAGGCAAAGAGACGAGGCAGAGAGGGAGAGAGTCGGCTCTCCCTTGGAGAGAGCTGGCTCCCTTTGATGTGGAGGCGGCTCCCAAGTGTGGGAGCCGGCTCCAAGGCCCAAAGGATGTGGCTCCACTTTTTGGAGACGTCTCCTTGATGCATTTTTATTTTTTTTTTTCTTCGTTTCCAGTCAGATTTTCATGCAGTGGATGGTTTTGGAATTTTTTAGATGAGTTTAGGACTGAATGGGGAAGGTTTAGAAGAGGCTCATGTCTGGGTTAAGGTTCCAGAAGGAGTGTTAATTAATCTATCCACTTGGAATTGCTTGGAATGTAGAGGACTTGATCAGATAATTGCACTGTGTTTAGAGTTGAAAGACTTGTAGTGTTTAGTTCTCTGTATTAGCATTTTTCTGAGATAAACAATTGAATTAGAACATGTTTCACCATATACCATGATCATGTATCTGAGTTATACATGTGCAGGATGTGTTAGTGTTGAACGATATTAAGTTTAAAATTTAACATTAACTGGATTTTGTGAAACAACCAAAACTAAGCATGCATATATACATACTGTAATTATGTCTTGATGCTTGCACTAATACTGTTAGTATCAACTGTTGGAGGAATGGACTTTGTTGATGTTTACTTTAAATGTCTGTAATATCAATTGCTGAGGGTTGAATGATAATTTGAAATAATTTTATCATTATATCAAATTTTATGGAACAACCTAAACTGAGTAGGTTTGTATATATACTATGACTATGTTTCTTGATGCTTACATTATGTGTTAGTATCAGTGATGGATATAAAACTGAATATGTTTATGTATATAGCTGATTTTGTTTATTGATGCTTACACTATGCCTGTTAGTATCAGTGATGGAGATATGGATTTAGTTGATGTTTACTTTAATTGTTGGCATTATCAATTGTTG